TCCAAATCCAGCCAAGAAGTCATAATATGAATAGATGAAAAATAAAGCACACATACCTTAGACAATGTAGCAAAAGCATAAATGGACTCAATGCATCAGCTCCTGGATAAAAAAACCTGTATAACAAAAAAAGGACATATAAACATGTAAACATTCAGCTAATTTTATCTTTCCTATATTTATTATTCTCAATGTATCTTTTGTAGCCTTACTGAAGGGTAACGTTTGGCTGCCATTTGTTTTCCTTTAGTACTTGTGGTATTAATAAAGGATTTTGAACTCTTAAAATAAACATTTGGTGCTCTTATTGACTCACTTACCCATACTTTACTTGTACAAATGCTGAACTGCTGGTTAAGACTTTTTCACACCAGGAATTTTCACTCCTGGCTGAGAAATAGGATTGTCTGCAGGGACTGTACGTATAGAGCCCATCAGTGTCCTGTTGTCCATTGCTTAAGCCTTAATGAAGGGGGATTCCTGACCCCTGAAATGCATTGACTGTGCATATCTTCTTGTCGCTCTTTTCTAAAGCCAATAAAAGTTTATTTTGGTTTATTTTTAAATCTTGAGACAATTACTGCTCTTTTTTAGTCTTCATTCATGTGGATTTCTCATTCTGGGTGTCCGCTCCCTTTGGAGGGACCCCCGTTTTGTGAAGAGCTGCCAGACCTTAGCCACCAGGCCCAAATATTGCTCATATTTAACTAGAGAAAGTTTCTCATTCCAACTCACCCTTGGATTGATGCTCTTTAAAGACTGGGGAGGAAAAGGATGAGTCTTGTGACATGGCTCTCCTACTGTCCCAGTGTTTTCCCCAGACTCCAGACTGTGCTATGCATTTTATGAATAAAATGTAAAATACAGAGGCAGTGTAGAGTATTCAGTGTGCTGTCCTACTGAGAGAAATATCAACTTTCCATTATAATCACTTATCACAATATTAGAACATCATATATTGTGTAACCATGCTTTCATCACACCAACTGTTTGTTGTGATGCTCAACACAACACAATTTTTCATTATTGAACCTGTCTGAGGTGTCCCAAGTCAGCAATGCCCTTGGTGGAAAGGCAGTCATTTTTATGAACATTGCCATTGTAGTCATCTATATTAAAGCTTAGCTGTCAGCCTGTGCTTATTAGTAGCCAGTTGGTATGCTCAAATTGTCAGGAAGCAGTCTGTCTACATTGAACTAACAGTGTAGAAGGCTGTTGTTGCTGATCCCTGGAAATTGATAAATTCAGTCTGTAGAAAAGCTATGTCTAAATAAAAAAGGTTATACTCAACTGATTCTCAGAGATCGGTCCCTGGAGCCTCTCTCCCCCTCTCCTGCAACGGTCTAAGGCCCCGTAAATCATCATGTTCTATGCACAGACTATAAAGGTGAGGATGCTGAGAAACATTTCAATCTTGCAGTGTAGGAGACGTCAGTGACTGGAGAAGCAGGCTGCCATGTCCACGGTTCAGGTAAGTATAACTTTTTTTAGCACCTAGACAAAAATGAGCACTTAACCCTTGCAGTGCGGGGGTAGCCCCACTGCAAGGGTTAAGAACACTTTAATCCATATTTTGGTCGTATAAGGTGTGAGAGTCTATAACATGGAAAATGGAGACTTTGGAAATGTAGACTAATTAATGGTCAACAAATATTAACTTTACTGAGGGATGTATCTAAATTTCCTTGAACTTCTTAAAAAGGAGGTTTCAATAACTCCTAGATTCTTATATTTTTCATTCAATGTCATTGTTGTGCATTTTGACTGCCAGTGGTTGACACCAAACCAAACTCAATCAAACCAGTGACACCAAACTCAGGAGTTAAATCTTAAAAACACATTCAAGCACCTTAAGTATTAACATGTATCTTATTTGTGTATCACTTGGCTTTAGATCCTCAAATCATCTCTGAATTCTCTCTGACACTGTCCTTCCTTCTGGAGGGTGGCTACCTTTGTTCCCCATGGTCCCTGTGCATGTTGCAAAGTAGCCACTGCTCCGAGCTTGCTCCTGCGATGGACTACAACCTCACGTTTTGTTTACTAATTTGTATTGAGATTGTAGTCTATCACGGGAGCGAGCTTGGAGCAGTGGCTACTATTATTGGTGGTTGTATTTTTGAAACTTCTGATGAGTGTATCAGTTTGAAAGTCATGTGAATTTTAGAATGACAAATGTTTTGATTCTTTCAAAAATTTACATGAAGATTTACCCTGTCTGCAGAGAATCATACATGAACCATGATTTTCCGGATTTCATAATAGCATTATTCTGCACAGATCAGGCACATGTACCAGATGAATCAAAAATTGATGAACTGGTGATCCTTCTTATTCAAACATCACTATTTAAATGTAACATCATATATACTGGAATTTCCCTTTAAGTGTCCCTGATAATAATTTTTTTTATCACAGGCTTTCTGTTTGTGTAGAAGTACTCTCTCATTTATAACATTTACGCAAGATATGCTGTTTGAACGACAGCAGAATATAATAAATATGAAGGGCAAATTCAAAGGTCACTGGGTTTAGTTTTTTTGCCCTTCATAGGAGAGAGGAATAAATGTACTCCGAATGGCCAGAGCTATTAATTAATCACTGTCCAGCTCCTGGAGTCACCGCAAGCTATGGCACGATTCCTGTTCTTCCAAGCAGGCATGCAGTCCTTCTCTAGCAAAAGTGCTTCCACCGGAATTAAATGGAATTGTACAAATGCCACGAGGCATTGTCAGAGCCCAGTTAATTCTGGCAGCCGGGTGGAGATTTGCATGCCCAGTAACAACAGGCAGCAAGGAGAGGGAGAGAAGATCCAAGCTTCTTTTGCTGCCTTGGTGACAGTTAATAGGTCAAGTAGAATGATAATTTGTGAGCTGCAAAAAAAATAAAAATTAGGCAAATGTTTTTGAAAATCAAGGGCTAAAGCTAGTATAGTTGCAGAGGGACCCAAATTATATAATGATGCAGGTTTTCAAACAGAATTATATCAAGCAAGCTTGCATCAATTTTTGTAGTCTATATTAAAGGAGAACTATAGGCTTAAGGCTTTTCCCCATAGTTCTCCTTAGGGTAACGGGAGGACACAAACGAGCGTCCTCCCGTCACCCTAAGCTCAGTATACCGCGAGCTTCGGTTCGCGGTATACTGAGACACCACAGTATACCGCGAGCTGCTGCTTGCGGTATACTAAGACGCCGCAGCTGAAGCGGATCCCGACAATTATGTCTGGATCCGCCCAGCTGCGTGAGTGACAGCTGGCTCTGCCTATCTAGAGGCAGAGTCAGCTGTACCCGCCCCCTCCCCCGTCCGATCCGCCAGTCAGCGCTGGCAGGGAGGGGGGAATCCAGTCCCTCCCCTGTCACGGCAGAGGGCTGTGACAGGATCGAGAGGTGAGTGAACGCCGGTATGTGTTCGCTCACTTCCCGATCTACTGAGCCGACCTGTGACAGTCTCATTATCACAGGTCGGCTAGAACTATGAGGTGAGTGAAAAGCACTCACCTCATAGTTCTCCTTTAATCATATTAATCCGATTGTAAACATTAGATGCTGGTTTAGTGCATGGCCCAACACATACAGTAGGTGCCAATATCTAGTGTCTGATGGTTGTTTCCTAGCTAAGTTGGCATAACCTCTTAATGAAATGTTATCCCTTTGTTCCGGTTTCACACTGTAATTCGGTTAACTAAAACTGGCATGGATAGCTTTTACCTAAAGCCACTAGGGCTGGTTGTGCTTCTGTATCTGGCTTAGGCAGTGAGAAGTCAACTATGTTACTGGGACTTGGCAGATTAATAGATTTAGGTTTAGTCTAAAAAAATTAAATTTTAGGTTCTATGTGTGTAGGTGATAGGTTCTTGAAAACTCCTTAGTGTCAAATGATCTGTAAAGTAGTATTAAACGCTCAAAATGTTTTCAACTATAAATCCATATCAAACAAATATACATTGTCTAGCAAGGTATTGTTTTAACATTATGCCCAAGTTTGGCTTCCCTGAATTTCCTGTCTAACACAAGATCTTAAAGGGCAGCAAAGTCTCCAACAGCTGTTAATCTACTAACTTGGAGAAGAGACAAGTGGGGAGCAGAGGACAGAGTAGTGGCTTGCCTTGCTGCCTTTGTGGAGACACGCACATCCTACTAGCACACACAAGCGTGGCTCCAAAGGACCCTACAAGGCAAAGGGTCCACCCTAAATCAGGATATCAAGGCCAATGCTCAGGGGACCAGCTTATTCTACAGGAAATTAAAACTTTTAAACATCAAGAAGCAGTATCTATTGTAAGTGATTTAATTTGCATTTGAAATAGCTTAAAACACTTTCAACTTTATTATCATATTAACAATGTCTGTAAACTTTACTTCTTATTAGTCCAGTATATAGCAATACATTTAAAAAATGTGATATCCTTAAACCTAGTTTATACATAAGAGTTTGCAATATATATTTCTTTCATCATTTTTCTTAACCCTAATCTATAAGGCCTGATTCACACCTAGGTGGCACAATTTCTGCGTGTTTGTACGTGCGTTACCAGCATGCCGTTATTTGCGTGTTTATGGCGTTGTGCACATTTGTATGCACATCTTAACACGTACTTGAAACCACGCATTTTGATTGGCTGCTCATAAAACATTGTACGCAATGGAAGAATCTTCCTATAAACGTGCAAAAACGCTCACGAAAATGTGCAACATTCTTCTGTCGCGCGTTTGTGGGCATTTCCAATGAAGTCTATGGGGCAAAAAAAGCTGCCCAAGGAAGCTCGGGTACCTTTTCTGCGTTTTTCTGATCAGATGTGAATCAGGGCCATTGAAAATCATGGGATTTTTCAGACTGCTCAAAAACTTATATCCCTTATCATCCTGTACCATCTAGAAATACATTTAATGTTGCCTATATTTTCTAATTACAAAATTCTTTTGGGGTTACTGATAATATATTTTATATCTGTGTGATAAAAAAAAGGATTGATATAATCTTGTGTTTGATCAATTCAGGCAGCCATTGTTAAAGTACTACATAATGAAGATCGGAGCAGATTGAAAGAATCCCCTTTCATTGGATTGGTGTTTGATGAGACCGTGGATATAACAGAACATCACAGTCTTGTAGTGTTCACAACATCTATTACGCCATGTGATGGAAAACTATACATCACATTCCTGGGCAGATTTAAGTTATGTTCAGGGGAAGCAAAACCTGTTGTTGAAAAAGTAGTTGAGATATTAAGTGACTTTCAGATTTCTCTTAAGAAAGTGGCTTGGTTTAGCTCTGATGGCTCTTCACTGATAACAGACAGGCAGAATGGTGTTGGAGAGAAACTAAAGACCCTTTGCCCACTTCTGACAGAACTTCATTGCATTTCACACAGAAGATCATTGCTTCCAACTGAAAATTTTGTCAGCGTTGATTATGGTAGGAAATATGAGAGTGTCATGGATGCAGTGTATAGACTGTATGGCAATAAAACTGGAGATGCTCCTAGTTTTCAAGAGTTACGTAATGTTATCATTGCTTGTGGCATAGACTTAAATTGTCCAGAAACAATTCACTGGACAGCTATATTGTCGGCTGTTGAAACCATTGACTCTTCATGGCCAACTTTAGTTCTTTTACTTGAAAATGAATCAGCAAAATCACCTATAGCTAATGGATTATGCTTAGAGCTGAAAACATTCTGGTTTGTGGCTTTTACTAAGCTCCTTCTGGACATTCTACCCATCTTCCAAAAACTTAACCAGTTTTTCCAAATTGAGGAGCTAGATATATCAATGGTAAATCCAATAGTATTAGCCTCACAGGCCACCCTGCAGGCACAAAAGTCCACTAATGGCCAGAATTTTCAAGAGTTCCTTAATGAACTGAATGAGCATCCCGATGATGACAATGGAAGCAGGTTCTACTACAAAGGAGTAGAATTAGTTGACTGTTCCAAAGTTCATTTGAAAGGTTTTGAGCTCATAAAAGAAGCCTGTCTTGACAGTGTCTGCAAGAGCCTCCTGGATCGCTTCCCTGGCAATGTTCTTAAGGTGATAAGCTCCCTTTCAATTATTTTTAACCCAAAGTGTTACCCTTCCTCCCTGGATGATATTGGTGTTTATGGGGAGATTGAGCTTAGACATCTCCTGCAGAATTTTTCAAATGTGCTGGTTCCAGAACGAGCGTTAAATGACTTTGCCCTCTTCAAGCGTATTGTGTTCAGCCTCAATCACCTGACATTTCGAGATCTTTGTATAAAGCTAGTCCACAACAACTCTGAGATGCATGAGTTGTTTCCAGACTTCACTGTTTTGGCAGCTGTGTCCTTAGTCATGCCACTTGGAACGACTGTTTTTGAAAAGATAAATCGTGCCAAGGAGCTGTGGAAAAAATGTCACCTGGAAGGTACAGTTGAAGGTGACGTCAGTGATGCTCTAAAAATCAGCATTGATAGCCCTTCCCTAAATGAATTAGACTTTGCCAAATTAATTGACTTCTTTGAAAACACAAGACAATCAGAGGATAAGTGACAGTATCGAAATGGAAGAGGTAGTACCAGGATGAAACATTGAACTTGATAGCTGAAAACACAAGTAGTGTGGGAGGAGAAGAAATGCACATTCCAAGATAATGCCTCTACAACATGAACAATTTTCCACAGGCAACCTTCCAATGTTTGCCATTTTTCCTCTAAATATGATACTCTTTCCATTATTTTCATGGTATCTGGCCTTCTACAACTAGGCTTGGAGCACTACTATATCCAAGAACCTAAAATTGTATATGCCAGCATTAAGCGTAAAGAGACTTTTACATTGCTGATCAACTACAAAAATGTGTTGATTTTTCATAATTTTCATGGTAATTTTTCCTGTTTCATTTTTATGTTTGCGTATGATTTGAGCATATTTTTACCAAAGCATTGATCAGAAAATCTTCCTCCTATATTAATGTATTTTTGAACTTGTAAAAGCTCCTGAATAGTCTTCCTCTGTCAAGTCTTCTCTCTTCCCGTTTTGTGTTCTTTTGTATGGCTCTTAGTCTACTGTGCCATGTGTTTAATACTTTGGGTTAGTTGAGTGCTGTATAAAACACCACTGACCTGTACACCATTAGAACAAACTGTTCATAGGATTTTAAGTTTTAAAAAAGCTAAGTAAATGGCCTTAGGGAATGTCAGGCCAAAATTGTGTCATATGGACACAGGCAGCAATGAAAACCTAAACTCTTTGACAAAAAAAACATTTTAGCTAGAGTTCTGCTTTAATTATAGTCCCAAAGCCTTACTTGTTTAGGAAACACATTTTGGTACCATTTAATAAATAAAACTGGCTGTTGCTTTGCTTTGCTTTGATTTTGCTAGATAAAGACAATCTGTCCCCTCTTGCACATAGCCATTTTGTCTAATAAATATCTGTGTGAATACAAACTTTCCAGTTGCTTTCTGCATCATTGTAGCTACTCTTCCATCTTCAGCTGATTGGTTATACTAAAATACAGTACCATTAGATATAAGTGCACCCGAAGCTGACTAATCCATTTTAATCAGAATGTTTCAACCTTTGGATTCTTAAACAGTTACCCTGATCCCAGTAAAAACAATGAAGCGCCACTAACTATCAGTCCTCACTGGGAGATCTTCTCAGGCATACTGCAGGATGCTGCCCCAAAGAAGCCGGGAAAGCTAAGAATCTGGAAAGTAAACACAAAGGGAGCGCCTTTCCTAGTGCAGATCAATTTATTTCAATAAGCACGAAGTGAAAAAGAGATAAAATGGTACTCACAAACATGAGTTACACAGGCATGGAATAAGAGCTGACATGCAGTAAGACATCCACTAAACAATTCCTGTGTGTGAAGTCGTTGACGTGTTTCCGGGGCACGCCCCCTTCATCAGAACATTTAGTTGTCCTCCTCCACTCTACCTATAAAGTCCGTGTGGCCAATCAGGGGCGAGCCATATAGGCTCGTCATAAGCCTACTGCTGATACTGCCATGTCCGGAGTCAGGAAGACCGTGCTGCAGAGATGCGCCGTGTCCAACCAATGGGGACCCAAAGAAGATCGGGCTCCGCCTACTGGGTGTCGCCATCGCTCGACCTATCACGGCACCCGAAAACCGGAACGGCTGTTACAAGCAGCAGAGTGTAAATGCACTGCATGTGCTGAATCAAACGGACACTGTAGAAACTGTAGAAACTCGATCCCTGAAAAGGATGAGTGTGAGGAAGGTGTATTGCATAGCTGATGGTTACCACATGGATGTGAGCACAAACAGTCATGTTATGTGTGCATAAGGATTGATATAGGTATAAATACATATAAGGGGTTTAAAAACATGAGAGATGATGGAAATACATTAAAGATAAAAGATGTAATAAATAAAGATATAAAAATATATATATATATCTAAATTATATATATATGAATATAAAAGGACATAAAAACAGTGAATATATGTTGCATTGGCATGCATAGGTATATATATGAAAAGATTAAAATCCAGTGGGTAGCCACATGGGCTGATACCGAGACCAGATCCGTCGATTACTATATTGTGAAGTGAAAAACATGATGTGGACGGAGGGAATAAAGATGGAACTGGAATACTGGGTAATGGTGGGGACCAACGCTAGGGAATGGACGGAGCCACATGGGAGGATGGCTGGGGAATACTCATGTTTGTGAGTACCATTTTATCTCTTTTTCACTTCGTACTTATTGAAATAAATTGATCTGCACTAGGAAAGGCGCTCCCTTTGTGTTTACTTTCCAGTTACCCTGATCCCAGCAGCAATATTTGCCCCAAGAAGCTCTGATGCAAAGTTGTGGTATTTCTTGATACCAGTGTTACTTAAAGGTCCCTCTACCTGGTGCTCCCAAACCATTCAGGTTTTTTTTTCGTATTCAGCCACACAGTTCTTTGCGCAAGTTAGTCCAAATCTTCCTTCCTTGGCTATTTATCTTCAAAAACTCTGAAAACAGGCTGTAGTCTATTTAAATTACCAGAAAAGCTGTGACTTGATTGGGGTCAAAGCGAAATCCTGAAGTGGCCCATGCTAAGTAGCAGAGGGAAGCTGCACAGGATGGACCTAGTCAGCGGTGCTTTCAAAACAAAGATTTTCTACACAGAAAGCCATCTATAAAGCTTCTGTAAGAGAAGACCCAATGGTCAGAGCGAGCTGGTGAGACATTTAGACATTATGTGAATAAACTGTGGCAAGGTTTGCCTGCTAACGGCTCACTCCCAGTAGCTTAAAAAAATGATCAGAAGAAAGACATTGACTTTAAATGACTTCCAAATATCTTTGAGCTCCACTTTCAAAAAGGCTGTCTTTAATGTTTCTTAAAATAACATGTTATATTGTGTGATGATCATGTTAAAAAGGCTCTGTTGACAGACCATTCATTTAAACAAAAATCTTTCCATCCATAATATTATATAATGCATTTACCATATTTTATGCATACTATTTACCTATAAAAGCCTCCCTTGTGTAGACATCCAAAAGCCCCGAGACTGCTACTGGGCACCTCCATCTTGGATGTGATGTCAGACTGATGTCATGACAAAGCTGTCATTAAAGTTGTGGCACTCTATGGTATTTCACTGTGCTCCTCTCCTGGCAGCTACCTCAAAAGGTTATGGCGGGAGGGGTGGGGAAGCTGGTCTAGCACAGAGAGTAAATAAACACTCCCAGAAGAGGAGAGGGCTATGACATGCAAGGATAGAGAGGGCTGTGCTAGGGAATTGACTCTCCTGGAGTAATCAAATGTTCTAGCATGTTAAAAGACGCATTTCAAATAAATAAAAAAATAATAATTTATGGAAAGTAAAAATACTGCAAGTAAATATTTAAATTATTTTTCTGCGCTTTTAGGTTGGTGCGGGGCCTCTTTAAATATCAAATCAACAAAGCACAATTTTTCATTGAAGGCATTTAAATTCTAATTGCCTTCATCTCTGCTGTGTAAATAAGATGACAAATGACATTGTTGCTTATGAGATGACATTTAGCTGTTCTGCAGTGTTCGATATGTCAGTACGCTTTTGCAAACAGTCATTAAAAGTATATAAGAATACCTATGTAGTGGTCATATATTCCATTAAAATATGCACTAATAAAAACAGTTAGATACTGGCACTTGAGGTAGGAATTTTATATAACTAAACTGACTACAGGGATCCTGTATATAAGAAAAAGAAGTGTACTCTTTGCTTCCTGTCAGCAGTACTGATGTGTTCCTGCTGACATTTAGCTTTACACACGTAAGGCTTATACAACACCCACCTCTGCTCTGCTAATTTGTGTGGCACCCCTTCCTCAGTCCAGCTTCTAGTTTATTGAAGCTTGTACCACTGGTGTCCCAGCCAATGTCCACCCCTTCCGACTTGTTTCACCCAATCATGGGCTTAGTCGTAGAGATCTCTACGACTAAGCCAGTGATTGGGTGAAATGTGTCAGTGCGGGCAGACCTTGGCTTGGGCATTAGGGATGTGGTACAAGATGTGGTACCAGCGGAATCCAACATGCAGCCAACTTTTCTTCTGTTTGTATGGGCTCATATTGAAGTAAGGACGTGCTCCAAACAGAACAGAATGGGGTTTGTGTGTACCCCATCCCCAGTCCCATCTTTCTCTCTCCTTTGCAATGTTACATGTTCTTCCTATGTAGCCACATCTCTCCCCTTAATGTTATGTTGCAGAGTACACAGAATGGAAAATGGAATACCTATGGCTCAGTTTTTTGATAGTGTTGTTAGAAGGTTGGATGCCTGCTCTTCAGCTTCAACTCATTTTTGCTTGCCTTTTTCTCTTTGTGGAGATTTTTTCCTCAATGTCTTCAAACAAGGTTCGTCGCTACCAGGGGCGGATCCAGAGTCTAGTTTCAATGGGGCACTTAGAGAAAATAAGATGCCTCTGAGTCCACTGATCCTCCTCCGGCCATTTTTTTTCCACTGTGCCCACCTCTCTCCTCTCCCACCCCCTCCTCTGTGTCCAGTGACCTGCATCCCCCTTTCCACTGTGGCCATCCCTCTCCTCTCCCACCAACGCCTCTGTGTCCACTGACCCCCCAGCTCTCCCCCTGCCACTGTGCCACCTCTGTCCCACCACCACCTGGGTCCACTGATCTCCCAGCTCTCTCCCTCTCACCTGGTCTCTCTTTGTGCATTCCTCCTGCCACTGCCGCTACTGCCAGCCTTGGGCAGCTCTCCATTAACATAAATTAGGCAGCCGCGAGGTCCCAGCGTGGGCTGACGTGGCTGCCTAATTTGTCTGACTTCAGTGCAGCTCTCTGCTTTCCGGCCATGATTGGTCGGCGCAGCCAGTGTTATAACATAATGCTGGACCTCCAGACAAGGTATAGAACAGCGGCCCGGCCTTTGCGGTGGAGGGGCAATATACTCGGGGAGGGGCAATTGCCCTGTTGCCCCCCCCCCCCCTGGATCCATCACTGATTGCTACACCCCTGCTTAAGCTAGTTTCTTCATAGCAGCTAACTAGATCGACATTTCCTCATCATTGGCTTTGAAGGCTGTACTTAGACCCCCTGGACCGGT